CTAAACCTAGCCCTGTAGACTTCTGACGGATTTTGGGTTCCATACCTGAGTTCTAGAGCTGCTACCAGTGCTCTATAGTTGTGCTTGTCGTCTGCTGACAACTGTCCAAGTATTTCCAGTGGTTGTCCTTTTAAGCTCGTTGCCAGATATACTGCTTTCTGCTCCTCTGTCGATCCATTCATTTCTTCCAGTAGCTCAAATTGTGCTCTATATGCTTCCCACGGTGCCTCCCCATCGAATTCCTGTGGCTTCCTTCGTACTGGATCACTACTATTACTGACATTCATATCTAGGATGTGACTTCTAACAGGACTGATGATGTCTGCATTATGGTTTAGCTGCAGGGTCTGTAAGGGGCTTGCCATTGTCTGGGGCTGATGAAGTCAATGGTTAATGTATCCTCCTTGTGTAAAAGACAATAGTTCATCCTTTAATGTATCTAATTCGCTTTTCAATTTACTAATGTTTTCCATTTGTACTTCTTGCCACTGTTGTTGACTTTCCTGTAGTTGCTGCTGACTTTCTTCCTGTTTCCTTTCTTGTTCTAGTTGCCACTGCTGTAATCTCTTTTTTTGTTTCTTTTCTTTTTCCTCCAACAACTGCTGTAATCTCTCTTCTTGTTTATTTTGCTGTTCGAGCTGCCACTGTTGCAGGTTTTCTTGCAACGGCTATTGTCTCTCTTCTTGTTTGTTTTCTTTTTCCTCCAACAACTGTTGTAATCTCTCTTCTTGTTTATTTTGTTGTTCGAGCTGCCACTGTTGCAGGTTTTCTTGCAACTGCTGTTGTCTCTCTTCTTGTTTCTTTTCTTGTTTATTTTCTCGTTCTTCTTGTTTCTTTTGCTACTCTTGTATTGCTGCTGTTACGTCTCCGTTTGTTAATTAACTTTCTGTAACTTCGTTCCAACGAAACTTAAGCGACACAAGTCCTTTCTTAATAAAACTGGTTTATTCTTTCCGAATATAACTTTGCGATACACTTAATCTCAATATTCGCGCTAAAACAAACAGTATCACGAACGAACGTTAACTTCAACAATACCCTGTGACTGCAGTTCAATTACTCACTGTCCACACACACATTCTCTTACCGCGTCACGTTTTCCCCTCTTATATACACCAGCCTACCCCACCAGTAAATACTAGACCATTCACCAAGATACGGGATAGTTCTAGAAACAAGAGAGCGTGAGAATTGTCACGTGATCTCGATGACGCAACACTGCCATCAAATCTACTAAGCTGGCGTTTGCGTT